GCCGGGGGGGGCCGGCGGAGGCCGCTCCGCGCCCGTTCTCCCCGGGGGCAGGGCGCTGGATGGGGCCGGGAATCGGTGACGGCGGGGCTGCCTCGGGCGCTTCGCACCGGTGCCGTTTCACCGGGCGCCGCGGGCGAGGGCGTGGGGCGGGGGAAGGAATTTGAGCCCTGGCGCACCCTCCGCCGGTTGAACCGGCCCGAACCCCGACCTGCCGCCCCACCCGGCTGCCGCCGCACCGCGCCCGGGCAGGGTCCGCTCCCCGGGAGGGCAGCCGCCGAGCACGCCCCGGGGAAGGGCCGGTTGGGCTGCTGTGCGGGACCGCGGGCGGGAGCGGGCGGGCTGAGTCACGGCCCGTTCCCCGCCCAGCCCGGCTCCTCCTGCGGTCTGCTGATCCGCCCGGTTTTCCCTCCTTCGCTAGGGATGAGCTCTGAGGATGCTCCCGGTGAAGCTGATAGTGACTGGAGATGACTTTGGGTACTGTCCCCGGAGAAACCAGGGCATCGTGGAGTGTTTCCTGGCCGGTGCGGTGTCCAACGTGTCCCTTCTCGTCAACGGAAGTGCTGCGGCAGATGCCGCCCAGCTGGCGAGGAGGTAAGCTACTTCTTTACCTCCTTTGTGGACAGCCTCCACAGGCTCCCCACGGAAAGCCAAACCTGTAACATTTAGTATTTTGTAGCCCCCGTATAAACACTGTATCGTAGCCCAGACTGGTCTGAGAAAACTCCAGGCATATTTACTGAGACTCTTCATGGCACAGCCAGTGACCTGCCAGCCATACCTGTCACAGCTCTTTCTCTGGTATCAGCCACTGCACTGCACCTTTTTTTTTTCCCTTGAGACAGAAAGCCCCTTACACAATTTGACTAATGGAGTTTGGGATTGTTGGACTTTCCCACACTTCTAAAAGATGGACCATCAAAATAGAAGTCTGCACTGTATACTCAGACCGAGCTGCTACCTCAAAAACTAATAGAGCGTAAAAGCACAAATCTTTCAATCTCATTTAATTTGGTGCATTTCAGCCAGGCTGGACACAGGGTCAGCCAGGCTCACTGCAGAATCGGGGAAAGGTGGGATTCTGCAAGGGCTAAGTTATAAATCTGGGCAGTGGAAAACTTGACATTTCCACCCCAGAAACCTTTTAAAAAAGCACCTCAATATTTCTAGGAATTCTAGGCTTGATAAATCCATTTGTAAAATCCATATACATAAAGAGAGGGACAACACCATTTACCTTTACCCCTTGCTTTTGTGCTGTTACTTTTAGGAGCTTGCTGGCACAGTTGGCTCTGTAACAAATCAAACGCTCTGTGTTCTCACGGGCTAGCCTAGCAAACCCTTTACCAGGAAGCATTACTTGTATTTAGAAGGTAAAACCCCACTAATGCTTCAGCTGCAGCGTGGGCAGGCACTTGGAAGGGGAGTGTGCCCTGGGAGGGCAGCAGGGCTGAGAAACAGTTGAGGAAAGCAGAAAAGGAAAGGAGCTGTACTGGTGCTAGAAGAACTGAGACCTTATTCTTCACATACAGCTGCTGCAGGGGACACTTTCACGGAAGTCACACTGTCCTTCTTCTCCTTGACCATCTCTCCCTGCTTTGGCTGTGATTTTAGGGGTCCTTGGAGATTGCTTGCAGCCTTCTTCGGTGTTGGGTGGTGCAGGAGAGCCAGGGTGCAGTGTGAGTGGCAAACTGCTCTGCTCTAGGGAAGGTTAGAGGTGGCACACAAACCCTGGGGGAGGAATCGCCTCCAGGGTGTTAGGGGGAGAGGCAGCCCGACACAGCACTGCCCAGATGCCCAGGGTCCTGTCAGCAAATGAAACAAATGAAATGGAAAACAAGGAGATAAAGCCAGCACTTCTCCCAGACACGGAGGCACCGTGAAGCCCTTTAAGCCCCAACCTTCTGGTAATGTTGTCAGCTATTTTAGCCGTGCTCTTTAGCAGGTTTTTAAATATAGAATCCACCTGGCCTCATTTCCATAGCCAGAAAGTAGGCCGTGTAATCAGAGGTTTAAAAGCATCTTTGAATCCAAGGCACGACACTGTGGTGACAGCTGATGGGGTGTGAGAAGCCAGGTTGGAGGGCAGGTGACAGCAGAAGCTGCAACCTGCTGCTACAGTTTCATTCTTTTGGGTGGTAGTTTTTAATTGCAAGTGTAAATGAAAGGGATTTAAATCTATTTAAATTTAATCTATTTAAATCTATTTCTGAGAATGTAAGTAGGGCAACATTGGGAACGTCTGTCGGCACTGAAGGTCAAGAGCCCAGGTTCTGCAGCTCCTACATATATCTTTATAGGTCCATACATACACACGTGGATCTGCTGAACCCCAGAGCAGGCCCTTCTGCTGCCACCGGGGCTGTGAGCAGGGGACTGATGTCTCACCAGCCGAGAAAGGAGGCCTGAAGCAGCAGCTTCTTCTTTCCTGCAGTGTATTCTCGTTGTGGGACTTGGTCTTTTGCATGCAAGGTGCTGGGACTGTCAGTGCTGGGCTGTTTCTGTGGCTTCTGGAGATTTTCTGGCTGTGTCTTGACTGCCTGTCCACGACATGGCTGCTCGTCACCGCAGGTCTTGAGCTCCTTCCTCACCGTGTTCTCAGTTAATGGGACAGAGGCAAAGCTAATTAGTAACAAGACAACTTTTCTTGCAGGATAGTCCTTCTTAAGCACCACATGCTGCCCTGCAGTGTTAGGGCTCGGCATCCTTCAGAAAGGAACACAGTTCCTCTGGAATTTCATTCTTCTCTTCATTTTCCCAATAATTCTGTAGGCTTCTGGGAATGCCATCTGCTGCCCCGTGTTTCGATTAGAAGCCTTGGCAGAAACGTGGTGGTTGTCAGCAGACCTTTGTACCAGCTCTAACACAAACTAATTGCAAAACAGCTGAACCCAGCAGTAAATAATCCACCTCCCCTGGTATCTGGGTTCTGCATCTTGGGCCTTTCTCACTCACTGTCACAACTGGGCTAAAAGAAGGGACCCACTCACTCCAGGCAAAAGAGAAGTTTGAGCAGACACCTGACTCTCCACCAAGGGACAGACCTGCTGATGGCAGCTGTGGGAGTGGTGTGTAAAGGAGCATCAGGGCAGGACAGGCTGCCATCGCGGCGCGGCTCAGTAACTCAGCATTTTTCTCTTTATGTAGGCTGATTTCTCTTTATGTAGACTGATTGCGACTTCCTGGTTATCCATATCATAGAATCTGGATTTTCTATTCATCAAGCCCCACCTTGACATCAGCCAGTCTTCCTGGTGATTATTCCAGAACCTTTCCCAGAGACTGGAAGGGTGCTTTCCTTAACTGAAATGAATAGGCCCCTTCATTTTTCCTTAGAAATACGGAGAGAGCAGAAATAGAGAGACCTAGGATTGTTTGCCCCTGTATTTTTCACCCCTTTTGTCAGTCAGTTCAGTTCTGACTGTTAGGACCCTTTCCCAGATTATCGTATCCAAACACTTGATGAAGAGTGACTATTTTAGAACACGACCTCAGTCTTCCTGGCTTTTTGCTGTTTGAATGCTGAACATCAGCTTCACAAAGCTGGAGCCTCTACAACATCTGGGTATATTTAACAGAAGAATCTAACAAAACCACATTTAATTGCTGTCTGTGTTTTCACTTCCTTTCCCATCATCACTAATTGCAAAATGTGTGTGTAAATTGTGACTTAATTCTGACCCTCCCAGTCAACATCTGACTAATCCAGAAGTCTCTCGCGCTTTCTCATCACCCTTTTATCTGACTGTTAATCACAGCAGAGGGTTCCGCTGCTGAACTGTGCTTGGATTCGGGGTGGGGCCCAATCTGAGGCCTTAAAACGAGAATCCCAGATCATATTAACTTTACTGGCAGCAGCACGTCTTGCTGATGTAAGGTCATGGACATGGGAGCTTCAGCTGATACAAAGATGCAATTAAAAGGAAAGTACTGTCCCTAAGCTGTGTCACAGTTCCAGCTCTGGGCACTGCAGAGGCTTTGGAGAGTTCCTTCCAGCAGAAACAAGTCCTTGGCAGTAATGGAGCAAGGCAAGATGCTCTGTAATGAAAGACAGTTAGACCTTACAGTTTGCTAAAGGGTGAAAGCTGGGGGGGGGGGGGGGCCAAGAGGTGTGTTTTTTCCATGCAAAGCACAGCCCGGCTTTGTCCGGCTTCAGACACTGGGATGGTTTCTGAAGCAGGATGTCCAGATACAGGTATTTACACGAGGCTCTTAACTGCGTCACACTTGGGCTGAAACCTGATGCACGGCAATTTTCCGGGTAAGGATACGAGCAGGATGCTGAAGGTGGGATCCGTTTGCCCATCAAGGAAAAGGGCAAGTGCTGTGTTGTGTGAGGGCAGGCAGCCTGCAGCAGGACCACGGGGGCTGGCTCTGGGAGTCACTAATTCCCACAGCCACTGCTCCCAGGAGCACGGGGACAGCAGTCGGTCCGTGCCACGGCCAGGCAGGACCCAGGGCAGCTCACCCTCCCAGCTCCCAAACGGTGACGGGCGATGGGTGCTTCAGGGAGCAGCTCAGCCAGTGACAGCCTGCAGGGAGCCCGGGCTGCTTGGGCATGAACACACAGGGAGTGAACTGCACGAGAGCCCCTTGCCTCAGCAGAGACCTGTGTGTCGCAAAACAAGCAGCTGCTTGAAAGGGAAGCAGTTCAGCTGGTTGTATTTCCTCTATTTGATAACTGGGCTGGGCACATTGACTTCTCCCCTCCCCGCCGCGGGACGCTGAGCACGGAGCCAGGGAGCAGGCTGGGTTCAGCAGTGAAAGCAGCTTGATAACCTTAGTGGCCACAGAAACTACTGGCCTGAACCTCAACGAGCTCACAACGGGCTCGTGGAGCCCCAGCCTCGGTCAGGGCAGCGTGGCTGGAGCCTGTCTCCCAAGGCACAGCCAAGTCAATTGCTATGATCCTTTATGTTTTGCTCATGTTTTAATCTCCTTGCACTTAGGACTTGAGGTGCTCATGCAGCGTCAGGGCTTTTGGGAATGAACACGGGCAGCAGGATGTTTGGTGCCAAACAGGAGCATTCTCTGGCTCGTACCTCCCATTTGGGTGCAGGAAATGCTGGCAGCAGGACCCTGCCATGGTGCTGCCCCGCTCTCCTCCCGTGTCTCCCCAGCTCTCCCTGCACGCCTCGTGCTGCGCGGCTCCCACAGATGGGCGTTTCTGAGCGAGTTTCTCACATGCTGCATTTTGAGTTTTGGTTTCACTCCCTGTGTCCCTGAGCTGTTGAACACTAAGGGTTCCTCCTGAGATGCCTCAGCACCGGCCGTCTGTCACTCCAGCCGGACTAACCCTAGGAGAAGACTATTAAGATACTCAGCTGGCGTTGGCCAAAGCTCTGGGAGATGCTCTAATGTTACAGTCTGTGTCTCCCCTTTCAGTGAGAACAAGGGCAGCTCTCTCTGCTTTTCCACATTCCGGGCATTCCCAGCTCCAGGGCTGGCTGCAGCACAGGCAGGGCAGGGGCTCCGAGGTTCCCGGTGGGAGTTTGGCTCCTCCATGTCCCACAGCTGTCAGGGGGTCACGCCTGTCCCCAAAACAGCCCCCGGTGCAGCCTCTGAGGCACCCGCTGTTGGAGGGGGCTCAGGGATGCTCCTGGGAGGCGCCGGAGGGGCTCAGCTGTTCATCTCCCTCCCACAGCACGTGGGGAGGAGAGCGCTCCACAAAAAAGGTCTTTATCTGCTGATTCATGGTAACACATGAATCCTTCCTGCAGACAGCAGCGCTGCGGCACAAATGCTGTCAGAGCTTCCCAGGGACACGGTAAAGAACTGGAGGTGGATTTCTAAAAAAAAAAAAAAAAAAAAAAAAAAAAAAAAAAAAAAAAAAAAAAAAAAAAAAAAAAATCAAACCAAAACCAAACAACAGCCTCCTCCTCTCCTGTGCCTTTGGCTCGAGCAGGTCACAGGCTGGAGGGGATGTCCCCCTGCCCATCCATCCACTGCCCGCTCAGGGCCCCGCTCCCAACGCAGCACCTTCCCGTTGTATCAGCAGCGAGGCCTTAGTGCACGTGTCGTGTGCTCAGGTCCCTCCTGTGAAAACCAGGTGAATGTTTATTACACAACCAGGCCCCACTGCACTGAGTCTGAGACGCCTCTTGCCTGCTCTTTCCGCAGGAGTCAGGGTGGAAATAGAGATGGGACAGTCCCAGACAGGTCCTTGTCAGCCCGCACAGGGTTACACCTGCAGATACTCTGCTCTGGTTTCTGTTCTGCTTTGCTTTCTAGAGGAACAGGGACAGGAAGATGTGCTGCAGTGAGCTCACTGCCACTTTTCAGACCAGCCGAGACCTTTCACAGCAGTCTCCCACTTTGGCCACAGTAAGGGAGGCAAAGGTGCAAAGCTGACAGATACTCCATTCCTGTTACAGATACAACATCCCAATCGGCCTCCACGCCAACCTCTCCGAGGGCTCTCCCGTGTGTGAGGTGCTCAAGACAAACTCTTCTCTGCTCAACCAAGATGGATTCTTCCATGGGAAAATGGGGTTCAGAACAGCTCTATCAAAAGGTCTCCTGAATATGTCAGAGGTAGGAGACAGCCATGTGCAGCCACGCAGCTTGCTTTCCCCATCCAGATCAGCAGCTGAAGGCCCTCCCCAGGTGTAAGCTTAGAGCTGAACCTCCCCCGTGTCTCCTGGGTGGCCAGAGAGGGCTCTCTGTGTCCTGTCCCTAATTCTGCCAAAGGCTCTGCAGCCTTTGAGAGTTCATTCCTCCCTGCTCCAGTGCCTGCACACACTCATGTCCATTAACTACTTATCTGAAGGGGCAGAAGAGGCAATGGAACAGGTATTTATGAAGAACCTAGAGATCAGTAAAGGTGAAATGCCAGAAGCGCTACATAGGCTTTTCATCACCTCAGGAGAGGCTTTTGTTCTCTAGAGAGACACTCATTTTGCCCCATGAACAAGGTGGATGTGTTTGGGCAATCAAAACTCCCTACGGGATATGAGCACCCATTTCCCCATTCATTTTAAAGGGAAATGGGTATTCAAATATTCTACATATTTTAGAAAACCCCAGCATCACCAGCAGCATAACGAGACTGATGCCTGGGGAAGGCTCTGGGCAGCACAACCTGTCTGTTTATCCATCACAGCACCTTGTGCCTCCCAGGGAGGTCCCCAGTGTCAGTCAGAGGGGACTCTAGCAGCCCCTCATGCTCCCTGGGTCTCAGCCTCTGACAGGTCCTCCTCTGACCCCTCTCTGCTCTGCAGGTGAAGCAGGAGCTAAAGGCCCAGGTGGAGCTGTTCCTTAAGCTGACAGGTCACCTACCTCTGCACATGGATGGGCACCAGCATGTTCATGTCCTCCCAGGTAAGAGGAGTCCTCGTCCTCCAGCGCTGAGAGCGGGAGCCAGAGTCAGCTCTGAGGAGACTGCCCTGGCCATGGCTTCCTCTGTGGCAATAAACCTCACCATCTGACACTTGTTTTGACACTGTGATTGCAGTTTGATTGGTCCCACCTGGGCCCAAAGTGGCTGCGTGGGGAGCTGGGTCATTACCAGCACAACCAGCCCAGGCTGCCCCTTCTCCTCCAAGGGCTGGTAGCTCCCCTCAGCACCCCAGTTCCACACTCCCTCCTGTGCTGGGGGAGGCAGACCAGGGCCAGCCACAGACTGGCCAGTTTAAGCTGGAACGCTGGTCTGGGAAAGCTGGCAGCTCTTTCAGGTGCTGGAACTCCATCCTGCCAGTTGTTTCCATGCCAGCCTCTGTCAGCAGAACAGCCAAATGGAATTGCATCTTCTTAAACCTGGGCAGTCCTCTCTGTGCTCACAGCTCCCAGAGGAGAGGGGGAGCTGGTTTTCCGATTCCTGGCTGAAGTGTCTCTCTCTGCTTCCAGAGGTCAGGCACGTGTTTGCAGAGGTGTTGGAGGAATACGGGATCCAGTACACGCGTGTCCCGATAGAGCCAGGCCTTCACAACTGTGACTGGATCCCACCGTCCCTGATGGACTTCTATCTGGGGGTGGAGGAGGATTCGTTTAACACAGTGGATGTGTTTACAAAGCACGGAATCAGGTAAATTGGGCATTACTCATCCTTTTGTGGTAAGGCCATGAGAGGTGAGGCACCGCTCTCTTCCCACTTTGGGGCTTACCAGAAAGATCAGGAGGATAAAAGTGCTGGGAGCACAAAGGCTGCTTTAAACAGTGTCCTGTTTCAATAAGGAAAGAAAAAGCATTACTGCCTTATAGTTCTAGTTTTACTTTTGTTTATAGTTAACAGTTAAAATCCCCCTCCCCCTTTTCTGTGTTAAGTTTTAGGTAAATTTTGATTCCTGATCCACTGTTAAAATCCCCCTCGCCCTTTTCTATGTTAAATTTTAGGTAAATTTTGATTCCTGATCCACTGGGCATAACACACTCTTTTATAACCCCCTTGTTGGCACTGACATTGGTGTTTCCTCCTCTGGCTACAGGTGGCCACACATTTACATAGGTCTGAGCACCATGGGCAAGAACATGTCTGTCAGCAGCATCTGCAGCGCCATCGATGCTGCCATCGAGCAGTTTGTGTCCAAGGCACCACAGAGCAGGAGGGTTACGATTGAGCTGATGGTGCACCCCGGGTACCCCAGCGTCCCCCCCGCCGGCGGCTGCGGGGAAGGACCTGACGATTTCTCGCAGTCCTGGGAGCGCCTCCACGAGCTGCAGACGCTGATGGAGCCGGAGCTGCAGAGCCAGTACAAAACCCGCAGCATTCAGCTCTGTTCATTCAAAGATCTTTAAGTAAACAAGCATGTACTACACCCCCCACACACTTCAGTCGTACTCTCAAGACAGGCAGCTGCCAACCCAGGAGCACACCTCCACCCCAAGGGTTCTGAACATTTCTCTCTTTGGACTTAACTGCAAAAAAAAGAGCCATTGCTGGGGAGCAAGTGCTGCTCTGGAGCAAGCGCTCTGTGCAGGGTGCCCCCGGGGGGCCTGGCCACCCTCAGTTCCTCTTTGTGCAGCACGGGGTTGTGACAGGGTTGTGGTCCCTTCCCCTCTGCCGGTGCCCGCTCAGGATGGCGAGGGCGCGGGGGCACGACGGCCGGGTTGGGCAGGGACGTCCACAGCCACATTCAAAGCCATAGTCCACGTCCAGCTCCAGTAACTGCAGCTCTTCCCATGTACGTTGCCTCTTGGCATAAAGCCACGGTAGGAAAGTAACATTGGCCTCAGCCCTTTCAGAGAGGTTTTTTTTTATTTTTCTTCTGGATGACTTTGAAGGAGCAGCAACTGTTGACCCATCTGCTATTTCCGTAACTGCTGCCTACGAGCTGAGCAGCAACTGCTCCCGTGTGGCCCAGCCACATGTGGGAGGGCTGCGGAGCAACCCGGGCACGTCTTCAACTGGGGAAGGGCTTTCCACTTGTCCATTTGCATTCCTGCCATCAAAGCATCCCAACTTCTACAACCCCACCAACAGCGATACGTTTAACTGTGCTCCTGACAGCAGCCCTGTCGCTCGCGTACAATGTTCACATGGAAAATGTATTTCAGATTGTTTATGCTCATTTTCTGCACAAAAGTGATCTATTTAATGTAATCATTTCTAGTTAATAATTTTTTTAATATTACAAATTTAAATATGATCATCATTCTTCTAATGAAAAATAAACTCAGGTGTTTTTCTACTGCACTGCCTCAGAAGGTTGTTTTCAGTTCTGTCTGGAGACCAAACCCATCCCACTCCCCTGTGGTGGCCCAAAAGGGTGTCCGGCTTTAATGGGAACCACTCACCTCTCCCCTAAACATCTGGGGAAGGTTTTGTTCTGTACAAATACGGAAAACAACATCAAAGATGTTTCAGAAGGTATTTTGCCAGGTTCTTTCCTAAATCACTGTCACAGAATTAATCTGGTACACGCCGAGTTTGTCCGTGAGCCCCCGTCCCCGCAGCCAAGAGCGGCCGTTCCCCTGGGGGTGGCAGTTCCCGGGGCCCGTCCCGGGGCGTTGGGCGGCGGAGCCCCCGATGGGGGAACGGGGTGAAACCCCCCGGGGCTGGGGCTGCCGCGCACGGCCGCCCGCGAGCGCCACCTGGTGACCGGCGGCTCTTGGGGCACCGCGGGGACGAGCCCCGCGCCGGCGGCGGCGATTTGGTGCCGGAGCTCAGCTGTTCACACGCGGTGATTTGGTGCGGGAGCTCAGCTGTTCACACGCGGTGATTTGGTGCGGGAGCTCAGCTGCTCACACGCAGTGATTTGGTGCGGGAGCTCAGCTGTTCACACGCGGTGATTTGGTGCGGGAGCTCAGCTGCTCACACGCGGTGATTTGGTGCGGGAGCTCAGCTGCTCACACGCGGTGATTTGGTGCGGGAGCTCAGCTGCTCACACGCGGTGATTTGGTGCCGGAGCTCAGCTGCTCACACCGGCACCGTGTTCTGATGGGTATTTTTTAACCTTATTGTTAACCCTTCAATTGCTCCCCATCCCACCCCACAGATCTGCTCGGGATCCTCAGGACGTCACGCTCTGTCTGTGAGCAGACACTGCCAACACCAAAGTCCTACCTGAGGTAGTTCTGAATTGCCAACAACAAAAAAATTTTGCAAATTCCATATTTTTAAACAGCATTAGAGCCCAAATTTTCTTCTAAATTCAAGGGAGCTTTAAACAGCGAAATAAAGAACTACTGAAAGACTTCTAAATAAGGAACCTTCCAACTGCACAAAATGTGTGGAGATAAGGAAGTTTCTCAGTGGTTCTATCAAAGCTTTAAAGACAAGTTCAATGAAGGCATTCAGACACTACCTACAAACGTCACTGCACCAGGATACTTGGAAAAAAAAAAAAAGTCTAATCCCCAAATCTCTCTGAAAATAAAACCAAAACCATGCCACAATGCCTTTGAGAGCAATTTTTATTAGGGTAGCAGAATGGAATTGCAGAAAGCCTATACCAGTACTCCTGGGTGTAGTTTCAACAGTACGTTGTTTTTATTTTGGATATTAAACTGCAGGTTTAGAATTCAGCATGGCTTAGGGAACCCGAGAGAACAAGAGCTGGATTTCCTGAGTTAACATAGGACTTCAAACTTTGAGTTTTTTCCTCCTCCTCAGCCAGGCAGCACAGCACTGGATCTACCTGTTCTCAGAGGGCGCCCACAGACACGAGCCCTCACTCAGGTTACACGTCCCGTGGTTTATGAATCGAGCTATGAAGAGCACACAGGGAGGACCGAGCGCGATATCTGTCTTCTAGGAGATGTTTGGAGCTGGAACCAGAGCAGCTGGTGTGGTGCCAACGGAGCCTGCGGCATCGACCGGAGCTCCTGGGAGGGCACGGCCCCGGGTCCCTTCCCGCTGCGTCCCAGGCACCGGCGCAGCCTCTGCCCCGGAGCTCACACCGGAGTCTGGGCAGCACCGCGGGCAAACAGCGCCACAGCTCCCTTCTACAGGAAAAGAAAACTTAGAGAACGGCAAGTTTCCGTGCCAACAGACATGATCAAAAGGTACAGTGACTCCTGTGATGTGGAAGTTACACACACTTCAGTTTGACAGATAATTTGGCATTATTTTATTATGAATCTGAGTGAGCGTGAATGAAACAAAATCAGTACCAACTTTCTGCAAATGAAGACACAAAGATGTGAAAATTTGGTAATAGACAGTGCTCTCACAAGCCTGAAAACACTCAGGAAATGCAAGTTTTCGTAAATAAGGTGAATGTGGTTTGACTTTATTTACCTGCCAAAGAATCTGTCTAAGAACACTTAAACATAAAATTTCTTAGCTCCCTAACTTATAAAAAAAATTTACTTTCAACAGAGGTGAGGTACTGGGCTGTCATCGTTTACACTAAATCAGAACTGAAAGCTGGAGGAGAGGGATGAAGAAGGAAGGGCAAATACACAAGACGTTAAACCCCAGAGAGCCCTACGCTCCACACACCGGTTGGGGAAGTTGCAAAGGCAGAGGCTGCACGGAAACCGAGTTCAGGAGCAGAGACAACACCTGGGTGCGAGGGATTTCCTAACTCAGTGTCCTGCACATCCAAATGATACGTGCTCCCAAGGAACTGGGTTTCTGGAAAGGGAAGTGTTTGCTCAGCGCCGTGCCCCAGCGGGGCCGGGGCAGTTTGACTGTGTGGCAGTTTGCTGGGGGTCAGCTCCGGAGCAGGGAGAAGGCAGGGGGAAAGCAAGAGACAGCACAGGGCGCTCCCCTCAGGGGGCTCGGGGTGCCCTGGGGCTCAGAACAGTGCTTGAAGCCTTCGTTAAATTGTCTGACCTGTGTGGTTTAGAGCTCTGTTTCAGCCGTTGCTTGCTCCTCTTAGACCATTTTCAGAGCGGGGCAGGGAAGGGGCACGAGTGCCATCCCACAGCACACAGAGGTTTCATACACGTTCTGATGGAAAAATGCTCTAAGATGACAAGCAGCGCTGTCAGATTGAGTACTAGGATTCAAAATTAGCATTTCCAAAACACCTATTTTTAACTCAAAAAACTGTTTATCACTTTGGTACCTCTTGGTCCCCAATTTCCGAGAGGGTCCCAAGCTGCTGCAATGTTGTCCTGTGCACGTTCCCCAGCTGCTCTGCGCAGGGATTAGGGACAGAAGCGAGGGAGGTTTGGAATCACATTCCACTACTCGTGGGCTACAGAATTTTTTCCCAAAGTTTTCCAGAAGCAGGACATAAGCCATATTTTAATTCAATGACGCAGACAAAAACTTGGGTTTCCCCGTTTAATAAACATTTTGTGGTAACATCAGCCAGATTTACATAAGACCTGGACATTATTTCTGATTGTTTTTTGTGGGGTGGGTTTGTTTGTTGTTTATTATGTTACAAACTGAAGTTAAGGGGAACTTGCAACAAGTCCCACAGAGCACAGTGCAACATTTAAAAAGAAAAGTAAACAAAACTGCCAAACACTCAATCATTTTCTGCCAGAACTGGGCTATTTTTTTTCTAAGACATCAGTATGGGGAGGCGGATAAAATTCAATGAAGAATTAAATGATCTTAAGATAGTGGGAACTGCAAGGAAAAAAATAAGAAATGACAGCCACAACCTTTTCAATTTAAGGGCAGAATATAAGTCTAAGATATTTTTGATAATTTCTGACAAGAAAAAGAAAACAGCATACTTTAAAGTATATTGAAGCAGTGATTTTTAAACAAAGAAAGCAGAACTATAACATCTTAAATTTTAATCCTTTCTTTACAGGTTACCTAGCCCACTTTTGATTAAGAAAACTGTAGAAAGTTAGTAACAGCCACAAGTTAACACCAAAAGGTGGCACTTGTCAATTTTCCATAGAGTCCTGCTTTACGGGGTGTCTCAAATGCACTGCTCCGATCTTCTGTCATACGGTGCTGACATCAACTGTGTCAGATTTTAGTCCACTGGTCGCTTTTCACCATATTTCTTTGTAAACTCTTCAGCGTTCTTACAGAATTTTTTACGGTCCTTAGAGTATTCTTCAGCTAGGTCAGCCCGGAGGGGGTGCTCGGGCTGTGGGTCATTCACCAGTGCTATGAGGGACTGGATTACTGTCAAAAGAAGTATAAATACCATCAGAGACTAAAATGGTTAATTTTTAAAAATCAAAGCGTAAGCAAAATTCCCCAGTAAGAAAAAAGCTTTAACTGCATTTAATACATCCCCATAAATCTAGCGTCTTTTCAAAAGCAGAGCGTGAATAAGCTCGAGCAATACGCCAAGATTTAGTTCAATGACCGTGAATGAACACCAGAAAGTCGTATTTGTAAACAAAATCAGCCTGAATGGAGACCAAAATGCACTACAAATTACTTCCCATGTAACTGGCATCCTGGCTGAAACATTTCCCTATGGTTAAGGAAGAAACCCAGTTTCACAGAGAAGTTCCTCCAACAGGGACTGGGTGAAGGTGGGATTTCCACCACGAAACGTTTTCTCCCAGCACCTCAGGGCTGCAGCTGGAACTGGGACTGTTTCTGGAGACCAACTGGCTTCAGCTTCACTTTTCTGTGACTGTTACTGCCCCTGCACAGCAGACAATTCTGCCATTTACCCCCAGCTGCCCAAGACACACACTGTTAGAGAGACACTGGGCAAACAAACGGGTAAGAACTGCGAGATGCTTTTCACCCCACTGCTCTCAGCCATTTCAACCTTCCTCCATCGCTTCCAAAGGAAATGTCATTCTTAAAATAACTGAACTGCACTCGACATTTACGCGGGGATCCTTCCATACTACAATGACATTTACTCTCATTCTCCTCATGCACGTTCTCACCACCACTTAAAGCCAGGCAGGTCACAACAACTGGGAGTTCTCACCTCCACCCCCAGAAGGTGTGTGGTATCTCAGCCAGCCCAGAGACAACGCGCACATGGAGAAGGCATCTGGCTGTAGGACAACACTAGTAATACCCTGTTTGAGGTAAGTTTGGGCACCCAGAGCAATCCAGAGCAGCACTGCAGGAGTATTTAAAGCAGGTGTAACAGAACTGAATGCCACACACTGGAGCTGCCGACCCCCAGCTCCAAGCCCCAGGGTCTCCACATCCCGGCTGCTGTTGGCAGAGGCAGCGCCAGCCCGGGCTCTCACCCAGCGCAAACGGCCCCGGCAGCGCCGCTGGGATCGCCCTGGCTTTGCCATGGAAGTTCTCACAACGCTCCTCCCTCCAGCAGAGGACAGAGCACCAGGGTGGCTGCTGCCAGAGCATCAGTCTGTACCCGACAGGGATGGGGAACACACCTCAGCACAACCACTCAGCACCCAGAGCAGCACACCTGGCCCTATGCTGCTGAACAGGAACATTTCTTACCACAAACTGAGTGGAGTTTAAACCGCAACAAACTACTTAAGGAACATAGAATTGGTATTTGCTTACTTAACATGGACTCACCAGTCCTGGACTTGTGACAACTGTCATCATATTAATGACTACTTATCAAACCAGCATCAATTCTGCACATGACAATCCCCCTTTACTCAGTAAAACACCCTCCAACACTCCAGAGAAAGCGTTACCATTTTATTAAGGTTATTTAAGACACAAGCCCCAAAAAACTGGGATTGTTGTAACAAGAGTTGCCTCAATACCCACAGCACCTTAAAACTAAATTGTCACAGCAGTTTTAGTATTAAGCATAGGTTAAAAAGTACAGCAGTAAAATGCACCTATAGTACATGAAAGGTGAGTTAATGATTTATGATGAACGTAATCTCTCTGCTTTGCTGACACCTGGCTGATCAAACCCATCACTTCGATGCTGTACTAATAATGCTGACTTATTTCCTTGAGAGGGGCCCAAAGAGACTGAAGTTCCCTTTTCAGTGCAGGAAAGCTCTGGAGGAAAAGGAACATACACTTAAACAGGGCTGTAATAGCTTTGTTGCAGGTTCATACAGTGACGTAATAACAGACGTTGACATTAAAACGATTTCTTGAAGAAAGAGTTAGAAAACAAATTAAAGACCACAAAATGGCAAAAATTGAGAGATCTGCAGTATTTTGTTACCCAGGCTTTGTTCCAAATTCTGATTTTAGCATCATTTTTATTCACTCTCTCAAATAGAAAGGGAATTGCCACTTCCCAGTCAGACACTATTTCCTGCACACAAACGATTGCTTTAGCAGTTCCAACTAATGCCAACTCGCATGGCCAGGCCGAGACACGTCACCCCTTCCTTTCACCAGACAAGGCTCACGGGGCTGTAAGGTGTTAACAGAAACTTCTACATGTTGCTTCCACCTCATCTCTCCCCAGGATCTCTGTCCTGTCTACCCCAGGTTACAACATAAGAACTTCACTGACCTATTTGAGTTTAACAGGTTCTTTTTGCTGCCACCTCTGCTTTCCCCAACATTTAACTACTCAATAGTTTCAGAAACACCTACAGGAATCTTCCTATTTTGTCTCTGGGGCAAGATCATGCCAGCTCCAAGTAGTTTTATTGGCACACAGATGTACACAGAAAAAAGAAATCTTAAGTACAGCGTTGTTTACTGTGACGAACTGTTCAAGGGAGAACAACCTTAAAGAGGAGTCTGGAAGAATGAAATACTTTCTCCTACAGAGCAACACACTTCAGTGCCACTGAAGCACTTGCACCGGACTCAACTGCTACTCATTTGAATCAATATTATTAAAAAACCAGGTTTTTTTACAAGGACACTAGCTCTTTCTATATGTACAATAATAAGTGCGTAATATGAAACTAACCGTTACCTGCCAGAAAACATGAAATCCTCACTCCAACAACTAATGGAAACAACTGAAAAAACCTGCTCAGATCACACTCCCAGTCTGCCACAGAACCTGATGAAAATATTTTCTTAAAATATTTAAATTCTTATCCAAAGACACTCTAAACAGTAAGCCTCACAGCAGTGATGTTTTAAGAACTGGGAGTTAATTTGTGTTATGATTTCACGTTTTGTTTATGACTCCCTGGACACTTCAAACTGTATGTTCAAATCACTGAACCAATGGCAGAGATTATAAAATACACAAAGCCTTGATTGAGGTTTTAGATCCTTTCTTTCAAACACCCAGGAATGTACCCAACCCCTCTGAATTATAAAGTTACTGTTTAAAAAGAAACACAAAGTAACTCCCACACAAACTACCACCACAATTTTTAAGTACGCTGAGGACACTGCCTTAAATAAACTCTTCAGTCATGAAGAGCCGTGTGGTTTCCTGGAGGTGGAAATGCCACTGCCATTACCTTACGTTCCAGTAACAAAATGAGATGCCAAAGGAGTGGCACACTCTGCTTACACGTGATTCATGACACAAACCTTACGACAACGAATATACCGTAGGAGCAGTGACCAGCTGACAAACTGGAATGCTATTGGCTTTACATTTAAACACAATACCAAGTGTCTCGTCACCCAGTTCCTTCTCCACATGGAGTCCTACCTTGGTCAGTTTTGGTTGCTGGCTTCCAGTTTTCAGCACTAATTACCGGCAGACAAACCTGCCCCTTTTCATCGATGTTGGGGTGATAGATCTTTGTTTTAAATGTAATCTTAGGAGGTTTGAATGGATATTCTGCTGGGAAGTTGATTTCGATTCTGAAGGCTCCTTTATCATATGGAGGATTGTCCTGCAACAAGAAGGCAGAATGTCAAGAACTCGGCATATTCTAACGGATGCAATAAGAAAAAGCATTCTCTAGACTTCGATCTACCAAATGACCTCTTTTAAAGGCACTTTCTTCCAGCACATACTGTCATATCTATGTGTCAGGAAACATCAAAACCTATTTGGTAAGAGAAAGGCAATACAGCATTTGTATTCAACCTGGAAAAAGCAGATTGCCTTTCTTCTGAAGCCAGCTGACACTTCTACCGGTAAGAGAGCATCCAATCCCATTTACTCCAAAAGGTCCTATCTAATAAGTAGTTTTATTCTCAACCTTGTATTTCAAAAACCATTGTAAACCCTTTCCGAGATACAAACATGGAGCCTGACAAGGAAAATTAGTTTCTCTAGACCTAGATATTTTACTTGCCTCACAACATGGCGGTATGAGCAAAGTAATTTCATTTGTCAGATTTTCCTATACATTCTGAGAACATTTTTGTGCTGACTACACAAAAATCTGCTGAGCATTCATTGGTACTAAAGATAGATATTCACTGTGTCTGCTGATGAGAACGTTCTGAATTTGTATGCAGTTTTAGCACCCACTCTTATCAGATCATTTTTGAAGGAGCACGATGAGAGGACCGTGAAGTAAGCAAAGTAGTTCTTCATGCTGAAACAGAAAAAGCAATGCCCAGAATATCACAGAGAAAACCCGACAGACTACTGTTACTGCTTCAAATACTAACTGCAGAAGAAAGGCAGGAAAAAAAATTAAGCCATTGCTAGATTTAAAGCTTAAGAAAATACCATTCTGCACTGAAAACAGTAACTGTGGCATGAAGGCTTTCCAAACACTCTGGGAACAAGAATCAAAGGATGAGAGTCTCCAGTTGGTGTAAAGTATAATCACACACATTCTTCATTAGCAACCAGGCCGTTCCCTGCAATCAAACCCACTCCAAACGTTACAAAAGGTTTCCCAATATTTGGGAGTAGGGAGCATTCTATTAAAATATTATTCAACAGCAAACATTTAATTTCAGTTTCATCCAATTAGATAATTCTGGTCATGTGTTCCTAAGAAATACAGCATAATTTCTGCAGTCAAGGGAAAAATAGGTAACTAGAGTGGATTTAAAATTACTTTTTATCCCAGCAATCCTAAAAGCTTTGGAAGTTTAACAAATAACTTCTGGTGGTGGTGACAACATAAGCAATTACTGCCCTCTCCCCCACAGTGCCATCACATGCTGTAATTCATGAGGATGAACTGATACAGGAACTGCCTTAAAAATGTCTATTTCCTACTTGACTCTCAGTCAGAACAGTTCTTCACTGTAACTCACCAATACACTGAACCAAAGACGTATGTAAAGGGTTGCTCATGTTTTAAGCAGACAAAATGCAGAATATTCAAGCAATTAATTTCCAATTATGTTGTATATTTTTTGGACATTGATAAGAAAGAGAAGCAGAATTATAAATACTGAAACACGAGCGACAAATATGACTCTCATCCACCCGGAGTATTTTCACACTGCAAATTTGTCCATAGCAAGCAATTTTGATTATGTGAAATGAAATTCATGGTGCACGAACCGTACCTTTTACAAGAGCAAGGAGCCTGGGGTAGATAGTGTCATTTGATGTTGATATCAAACAAATACTGTGCCTTTTCAGCACACAGTACATAAACTACCTTATTCTACAATTTAGAACAGGAAAAAAGAAGCCGACAAGCTGCTTTCAATTTGCTTCTCAACTGAGCAAATACCCTTAAAAACTAACAATTGTTCCAAGGAGACAAGGAGAACTGATGCCCCAGTGGCACTGCCTCTGTTGCTGCACTTAAAAGTATCTCATGTACCGAAGGGAGAATGGGCCAGGGCAGTGGAAAATAAAGGGAGGTGAAAATCCAAGTGACTTCAAGGAATTCAACGTACTCAATTTCCTGCTTTCCCCTGCATAACAAATCCCTCTCTGTTTGACTAATACAGTGGTTATCTACTTCTATTAAACATTCTCTTAAAAGATTGTAGTGCTTTTAAAAAATTGAAGCTTGGGGGTTTTTTTAGGCATTACTTAATGCCAAAACTTTCTTTTAAAGAGCTCACTTCTGAAAATCCAACTGTTTTCCTTGCAATAATCAATTTTATCCTAGAAATAAAACTAATCCATTAAAAAAAGGAGTAAACAAGGTGCTTGACACCTTTTATTTTTTCCTGTGACGATGTAGATTTTGTACTTTAAGCTTAATGTAATAAACTACAAACTTGATTTCCTTCCCCTTTCCAGCACCTCTGCCAAGTAACCCCGTGCCATGGCTGCACCCACAGCCCCCGCCAGCCGCAGGCACGCACTGGGCCAGGCCTGCAGCCACGAAGCTTCCAGGCAGGTATTGACCACAAGAATCTACAGCAGCGGTCAATTACCTATGGATTTTTCTTCAGAAGAGTTATAAGAAACACCTGCAAACATTATCAGACTTTGACGAAATGAAACACAAAAGACACTCAAAATGAGACAGGAAGATTACGCTATTTTCCCAAGATTACACAAGATGCCTGAAGGCAGACAAGAACTGAATCCAGGACCACATTTCATTGCCCAGGCTCTGTCTAAGATGCTGCAGTATAATCTATATGAACTCATGATATATTTATAAACAACCAGCTTCTGCATAAACTCACAACTCCGAAAGTCAGGTATTATTATAATAAAAAAGTTTCTTGTCAGGGTGCAAAAACTATCTAATGGTCACTAGCTGCACTGATAAACTGTGGGTTTATGAGATACAAACGATCCTCATTTTATTTTAAAGCTCATTAGAATATGGAGTAGTCTATACTCACAGGAACAATAAGCCCTTGCCAGGTCAATAAATTAGCTTCATCAACCTGGATATTACGGAAGTTTTTCATTCCACATTTGCGGATTTCTTCAAGCTCCTGAAAAGCAAGCAAAGTGTAAGTTAATAGCAGTATTAAGGAAGATGCTAATTTTATTTTTCAAAAGATTTAGAGGTCAACATGGGTTTCTTTAAAGGTAAAGAAGCTTGAGGTTTTAGCAGTGGCAACCCACACGAGGTATTGAAAAAACCAACCCAAACCTTTTTTTTAGGTCAGGAAAATACAAAAATGCCTTGGTATTAACACCATTATAGACACAAAGAAGTCGAAGTATTTAAAGAGTGCATTAAAAATGTTTTTACATCTCAAATACAAATCAGTGCCTTTGGTAACAGACAACTGATTCCTCTGTGCTGCACAGAAATAAAGGGCATCTTAGAATTGGTCTGAAGGAAAATAGTGATTTCGAAGAATTATTCCATAACAGTTTTAAACACAGAAGAAGTCACCAAATAGATTAATTATTTCAACTGAAGACCAACAAATTCCTGCATGACCAACTTAAATTAGCATCAAAGCCAAACTTGCCTTATTTAGACCAATAACTTGAAGACAGAGCTTTATGTCAGCTTTGTACCTCGAAGTTAACAGTATATATTGACACCTCTCTTTATAGCTGTATCACTCTTGAACACGGTGTCTTTCTGCACCAGTCAACCACCATTCAAACCATTTTTGATCCGTTAGTGATCCGGGTAACACCGAAATGGGTATTTAAGCATTTTTATATCTAAAGTTATATATGAACCCTAGTGTAGCAATTGTTTCTTGGAGTATTCAGTAAGACCTAAAATGAAATGCCTCAAAGTTCCACTGTCCCTGTCTCCCCATAACTATTATAGCCTCTTGCTGTTGAATTCAGTTTTATCTTTAAAGAGAATTTAACTGAATTCAAATTTAAAAGTGATCCACAGTGAAATATAAAACTTTTGCAGTGCTTTCAGAACCGAAGTATATGCCCACGTGCCTACAGAGATTATGGAAAATGCTGCTTATCCAGCAACTGCCAGCACTGCTCTTCACTGGGTGCTAGCATATTTGTAAAACTAGACTGTATATTATGATAAAAACACCAACTACAAGCAAGTGCCTACACACTAAAAACCAAAAAAGATCAGTTTTCTTGGTATAAGTGTTATACTGTCCATGTTTGGGTTTTTTTTTCTAAAATAGCTCTATGTTCATCTTAGATCAACCCTTTCTGCATCTGACGGGCAGAGATTTAATACAGGCAGTAATCTCTTGCATAAACTTAGCATCATGATAAAATGCAAACCCAAAGGGAAAACAAGATTTCCAAAGGTACATGGAACCAGAATCACTTGAGAGCCACGCATCAGAGATGAACACTGACATTCCCACCCACTGCACCTACGACAGCAAGAGCACACCCAGAATATAGAAGTTTAACCTTGGAGTCTTGGATACTGAATTGACACCCAACACAATCTTCGTGACACTAAACCCAACTATTTAGACTAGAGCTGTGAATTAATCCCTAAATTTCACTGCTTCTAGATTTATGCAATATCCCAGACAGTTTGGGGATTTTTTTCTTTTAAAAAAGAGTAAGAGGATTATACTATTTCATTAAAGCAGGAAAACATAAAAACCACACAAAAATAATCCCATGAAGCACATTTATAGGGATACAGAGCAAACCAAAATATTCAAAAGAAAATAACCTTTATTATCGCAGCTATAAGAGATCCTTTCCAATCACTAAAGCTGCAAATCTGTGCAGTGCCTTAGAGGCAGCTGTCATCGCCTGGAGCAGCACCCAGGAGCCTGGCCCACATGGGATCCTTCCCCAGCCTGGGATGGCTCTGCACTCCAAGAGCATCCCAGCAGCATCCAGAGCCCTATGGTCCCAGCACACCCCTGCTCCACAGGGTGTGGGGATAAACCCTGTCCCACACCAGACGGTGCGCACCCAATAGCAGGGGCAAAATAAGCCAGTTCACCAGGAGGCATTTAAGCATGAAGAAATGTGCATCACAAGTGCCTTCACTCTAGAACAAGGAAAGGAAAATGGGCTTGGATGATTTTTTAGTTACCATATTAACAACATACCTACAAGAGAAGTTTCCCCCATAAAGGTCCAGGGTGGAGCACAGCTCCCATGCAGGAGCTGCTCGATATCGCAGGTTCCGATGACAGCACTTGTGCTGCTGGCCCAGAACAAGAAAGGGGGGACTATGACTCTATAATTTAGATATGTTGTTAAGCTAATAAAACAAATTAGAAAAGCATGGCTTCGCGTTACTGGAAAATTAAACTCCTACATTTCATAATCCGATTCAGGTTAAAAAACTGGATGCTGAACTAAGAAATGCAAGAACCCAGTACAGAGATCATTACAAAATTGTAGAACTCTGTATGACAGCAAAGAAAAGTTTAAAACAAATACGAATATTGCCCCCTGTTTTCCCTGAAGTCCACCACAGCAGAGAGGGTATTTAGCAGCCCAGAAGACACTAAAGAACTAGCAGAATATTACACAGGACATCTCCCTCTTTGAACTGGGACATGAAGCCTTTGCAGGAGTTCACCAAACTCCAAGCAGTGGGTCAGGACCATGTTCTGTGTCCCCTCTGCCACCCAGGGTCCTGACCCAGCAACTGACAACAGAGAAGGGGACAGATGGGCATAAAGCAGGCAATGACCTCCCTCGCACACAGGCAGGGCTGCAGAGGTCAGGGAGAACCAAACCCACCTTAGCAGAGGACCTGTTGGAACTACGCGCTTCAGACAGATTTCAATTTCTAAGAGAAATTACTTCTCTTATACTGGAGGTGCTTAAGATTTCCTATGCCACTCCAAATTAATCAATTCCATGTTAGATGTATTTACAAATCGGTTTGTTTTTTTTTTAAATACGACTATCCCCTCAAATACAATGTAATGCTATCCTTGCAAGTCAGGCTTTTAGGCCTTCTGTGTCTAGCCTCAGAAGCGGTCAGAGATTCAGCACTGACAATTTAAGAGTGTGGGGGGGATTGTTTTGTTTTTTTCCTAGTACCTGTCAAAACCCATAATAAAGATCTAACTGCCTCAGAGCTACAGAGGCAGACAACTACAGTATAAATGTACTGTTAAAACAGTGAATGAGCTACTAAGTACCTTCAAACAGCACAGATTAAAAGTCAATTCTGCATTTAACATGGGCTTGAACAACTCCAAAGGGACAAAAATTACTTTCTGAGGTAAAAGGATACAGTCCAGATATTTCAAAATAATACTTAAGAGTCCAGGCAGACAGTAAATAGATTAATTCCTTTTCTTGTTCTCCACCCCTTAATTTTGTCAAGTAAGATAATTAAAGGAGCACAGCAGGAGTGTAACTAGAGGTTAGGAGAGTGCAGTAAGAATTTCCGTCAGTCCTCATTCCCCACTCTGACACCAACCTTGCATGTGACCTTGCTGCATAGGCTCCCCCATCTGTAAAATGAAATGTCTTATTTCATGGGGCTCTCTTGAGACACGATGTGTGTACTCTGGATATGTTCAGAGAAAGTGTTGTACACAGCACATGAAATGGCAAAAACACTGTTTCAGAGACGGTATCTGATCTCCAAATATAATGCTGAAGGGAGTCATAAAAGTACGTACTACCTCATATTCCTCAATTAAGGAATTAAAATTTTGATTTTCAATATTGTATAATCATTTGTGCTGTTCAAAAAATGTTTGAAATGAAAAAGTAAAGTAGCATCAGCTTAAAATGTAGTTAAGTCTTTTAAAAACCCTGCAACTGTCTTGTCGATGCATTTTTCAAGTCCTGGGCCTTCTCTAAAAAACCAAGCCAGATCAGAAAACAAAGTGAAGGCAAACACTTGTCAGAGTGCAATCCAAGAATACAGGAATAAGTGTAAGGGCTCTCGCTGCCTTCAGTAAGTTCTGCATCAAGCCCAAAATGCTATTAAATGCACAAACAAAACCAAAAGTCTACTGAAAGAACTCTAAACCATGATTCTCTGCCATTTATAATTTACATTTACCTGTTTATAAACACATTCTCAAACAGAAGCTTGACAAAGTTAAACAGGTTCCAAGATGCTGATAAGGAACTGGCCAGTTTTACTTTATGAATCCCATAGAACACAGAAAAGTGTTAGAACACCCTAAAATAAAATATAATTTTACAAAAAACCCAACCAAAACCTACCAAAAGAAAAACAGTAATAGTTCTTATAAGAGTAAGAATTTATTTTTCCTCTGCAACATTGCAACCCTGTATACTCACATGTCTTATTTACTGAGTAATTCGACTTTTTGGCAAAGTACTTTCATTTGATTAAAAATCCTTTTGTCAATTCTCAGTTTCAAAAAGGGAAAATGAATTAGTATTCTCACTTCTGCATAAGGACAATCACACTGCGCAAAACCACAGTTCCCTTGTTACTGAGAACCGCTGTTTAGACCAATTTGGAATTGCTTTTCCAATATTAAAGGTGTTTAAAACCCCTTTACTCGGCAGGGCTGCAGTGCTCACAAGAGCACACTGGAGATTGCAGAGGGTCTGCAGCAGGTACCTGGGTGAGGCCTTGTGTTTGTATTTTATCATGGAGTTCAACAATTGCATAAACATTTGACTGTGCAATTATGGAAGGAGAGGAAAAACAACAAGCTTAAAATAATTGCTTATATGCATAATTTCTTATGTGAAGTGTTACTTACTCCTTAGCTCTATTTTCAATTTTTAATACTAACGATACTTTTGAACATCTGAAAAACAGGAAACAAGAGCACAGCTCTTACAGCCACCTCAGCCTGTCTGTACCACAGACGGGACCATGCAGGGGCCAGGAGGGCCTCGCAAACACCCAAAACTGCCGCATCTCAGGTGCACCTCAGCCCCACAAGGACAGACGTGACTGCCCAGCACGGACACAGCCTTCCCTCAGCAACTACCCCCTCTCTCCACAGCACCAAGCTACAGAGTGCACAAGGAAAATAGCTTCTTTTACAGTAGTAGGCGGCAACTGGAAAAGGATTTCATTGAGATCTCTGGCATATCTCTTGGAGATCTGCGTTCCCAGTCATATGTGTTTGGAGACAAACCACTTTGTATGAGCAAGAGTCAGGAAGCAAAGTAGCTCCCTTAAAAGAGAAGCCTTAGATCCTTTCCTAATTATGGTTGTTCCATATTTGCCTGTTTTTACCCTGAGAGATCATCCACAACAACATATCCTTAACAAAGACTGCTTTATTCCCACCTCTCACGTTCCATGAGGAGTCAAGATCCGACAACTGCGGCTCTTTGAAGATGTGTAATGGTGGCTCAGAGATGAAAACTCCACCTCAGATGTTGCTGGAGTATTATTCATTACCTATGCTTACTTCACATTTTGGCTAACCTAGGAGTTCTCCTGAAAAGGACACGCCTCCACTGACTTTTTGTAAGTCAGTAGGGAAAACTCTAGTTAGGCTATGCAACGGTAGAAAGCTCTGCAAAAATAGGCCATAAATAAAGTCTTTGGCCTAGGAAACGTTGTTTGCTCAAACGGAGCCTGAGATCACAAGACAATCTTATTCTTGTTATAACTTGACTTCATGTTTAAAATTGAACTGTACAAGTACAATGGCAAAGTTTGTAATAATTCCTTCACAAGGTTTGCAAATTGAAGAAACAAATGACTTCCACAATCTGAAAAGGACACCCATTTCCACCTCTAAGGTGGAAACTACAATCATAGCCCTAGTTTTCTACAGGCAAACTGTGTTATTATGACCTCACTACATCCAGTCTCTCTGAGCCACTGTGATTAATATGAATAACTATGATGTATGACATGAGTTCAGAAAAAATGCAGTGCTTCCAAATGTTGGCAAGACCTTAAGAAAATGCTTTACGTGACCTATAAAAGGTTCAAAGTTTATTCTCACTTACCAAAGACAAACTTGATATTTAGCTCAAAGAAAGCACAGTTAATGCTTATCCTAAATTATTTTAAACATAACTGACACACTGAAAAACTCCATTTCCTTTAGTTATAATCACTCATCATTCTACGACCCCAAGAAAGACACACCACAGACTGTTCTATATTGCAAAATTTCAACGGTGAAAGATTTTTTTAAGGAGGATCTGTGAGTGTGGAACTTAAACAACGATATTAGGTTGACACACATGCAAGTTCAGGCCTTCGAAACATCATGCTGCAGCATCCAGATTACATCATCTGTAGAGAGCTCTGCTTTGCTCCTACCAGGATGAACAGCAAAACCCAAAGCCACTTGGGCCGACTCGACTCTGCAAAAGCAGGAGGCAGCTGCGAATTTAATAGCCTTTAGGAGCTGTGTGATACAGCATCTTGCAGCTCTTGGGCTGGAGGAAACACGCAGACAACGTGCACAACCCACCACCAGGCAATAAAAACGAAAGCAAAATTGCAAGAGGGAAGTTATCAAACCCCTTCCTTCCTACACCACTCCCTCTCAAAGGCAACTGCCACACCGTTTCCAGGAAAGGAGGAGGTCACATTGTCAAAAAAACATTTTTACAGCACTTTAGTGAAAGATTAAGTACTAATGGTATAGACATATAGTGGAACTCAGAACCAAGAAGCACTGCAGCTATTAGAACAATTTTGCTTGCCTTTCAGATTTTCATGTTCTATTTTAAATTTAAAAAGAAAAAAAAAATAATTGGAAATGTAGTTTTTTTTCCTACCAGAGCACTAGTGATGTGCTTTTGAAAAACTAATGGATTTCTATAGAACAGGCAGAAAAGCTGCCTTACAAAAAGATAAATTTAAATTGTTTTTTACTATCAGAAACTAAGAGGAACCTTATTTGAGCAATAGACATATTGATTATGACACTAAAGCTGTGACAAAACATAACATCTATGAAAAATTGAATAAAAAAAATTAATGCCATCTCATCATGATCTTTAATGACAATTAAAGGTTTACGCCTACTGATTATATATATGTGAATGACTCTGCACGGAATATATTTACCACTTAATTTTTAATCACTCCATAGCGCATTTACAAGAACAAAACTAGCCTTATGAAAGCACTGCTGAGCTCTTGGTTTCTTCAGAAATAAATGAGTGATAATGGTTAATTATGGATCTGCACAATTAAGGAAATGCAACTTCAAAACTTGCTATCTACATGTCCTAGTGAAATCACAGACCTATTAGGGTCCTTGAAGGAAGCTGCAAATCTGACATTAAAAGGCAAAGTTTAACAGAATCGCCCATGTATCTGTGAAACCCTGGAGCACGGTTCCATTGCACCCCACAAGAACAGGTTTTGTGACACGGCTACAGCATCATCTGACAGTTATGGGGTCCTGCCCCTGCGTTTCACAGGACACGTCTGTAAAGTTCATTGACTTACGTTACAGGCACTCTGCACGCAAATACCATAGCGTGTTGCCAAAGCATTTTACAGATGACTAAATTTTACACCACTAAGCGTGCATGTCCTAGACAAACCCCACTGCATACAGTTTGTAATCTTAATGGGCCATTATATACAACACATAAAATGAACTTACATGCTTTGGGGGCAACGGTCATTATTTCCTTTCTAAGAAGTACCTTACTCCTCAAGCAAAACGATGAGAAACACAATCCCAGGCAGTATTTTACAATAAAGCGTACGTGCCGGGTTTCCGTCCACAAGCACCATCCGCGCTCAAACACACAGCGAAGACAAAAACATCCCCCCGGCTGCGGCGAACGGGGAAACTCCTGGACCCAGGTCCATATTTCAGCGCCATAAACATCTTACTCATACGCGGAAGAGGTTCCTCTCCGAGACAACGAAACCGAGACGGGTTCGCCCCGGGCGCTCGGGCCCGGCTCCTCACCGGGAGGCGCGGACCCCGCAGGGCGGAGGACCGTTCCCGACCACCGCTGCGGGCCCCGGGCCCCGTGGCTGCGGCACCGCCGGCGGCCGGGCGACCCCTCACGGCGCCCCGGGGC